TTTTTTGTATATAATTTCACTAAATTTCCATCGGAAGAATAGCGCTTCTTAGTTCATTGTATATAATCTTATACATTTAGTACATACGAAACTATAACAAAGCGTATTTATCATATTTCAATGGATTACATCTAAACATTTTGGTAAAAGAAACGAGTATCAAAAATTAATGCTGTGTTACAGTTATTTAGTTTAAGAAGCGTATGAGAAGCGCATCTAGAATTCGTCGTGGAGGATGCGATTCTTATTGTCTTCGATGAGATTCTTGACACGTGCGACGATGTCCTCCGGATTACGCGAGGAAATATGATACCAGTTCTGCGAGTTGAAGTAGAGGATGACGGTTGGGTAACTGGTGACCCTCATCTCTATGCAGAAGTTCCGGTCGATCTCGCAGTTGACCTTTCCGGAATTCACGATTCCTTCTAATTTCTGCACAAAATTAACATATTATATCAAAGATTTGGAATTAATTGGATACGTACATCGGAGACCATCCTGAAGTCCGGCTCGAATTGGAGGCAGGGTCCGCACCAAGGAGCGTAGTAATCCACGAGCCATGGAGTCATCGGATTCCTGTTCAGTATTTTCGAGCGGAAGTCCTTAGAACTCAACGCGTGCACGGACGTTGGAAGGAAACTCATGATCCAATTCCTTAATGATAACGCGTCTCTGTGTCCTCCGTACATGCTGAAATCGCAACATTTTCATTACTCGATTCACAAACAATATTGAAGACTTACGCAACGCTGTTGAGGCCTTTCGAGTCGAATGGATAGAGCCTGATCGTCGGGTAGCTTCTGATGTTTTGCGCCGAACAGAGATCGCTGTTCTCGACGCAATCCACTTGTGCAATTTTGACGTTCTCGAAGGATTTCATCTTGCAGTAGAAATTATTAAATTACAAAACGGAATGAAAGAGGTTGTTTGAGTATATACTTGCTTGGCGACGATCCTCCATTGGGTTGAGAGCTGCTGACATGGGCCGCACCACGGCGCGTAATAATCGACGAGCCACATCTCGCTCTCCGGTTTCCGCATCAGTTTAACGAAATTCGCGCTATCCAAGGTTATGACAGAAGGATTGATCATATCATCTACGAATTCAACAATACCGCTTTCGCTGAGCGTTCCGTGGAAATGCTGTTTCGGTTTGGTGCCGTTGTAGAAGACGGTCGTCGGGTAGGAACGTATGCCTTCGCGATTGCACAGACCGGTGTGCAGGGTGCAATCGATCGTTCCGAACTTCACCTGCTCGGGATTGAAGTGCTGACTGGCCCTCCGCATCTCTGGCATCAGTTTACGGCAAGGCGGACACCACGGAGCGTACCAATCAATGAACCACGCGCCTCCTTCAAATCAAATTAGCATTACCTTAACTTCCATTGATATATTTTCAAAACGTACCCTCTTCCTTGATATTATGAAAATCGGCTGGCGAAATGGCGTGAAGATTTGTACTAGCACTGCTGTCCCTAGCGAAGGCCGCCACCTCATAGAGCACGTCCCTTCCGTGATGCAATTCGAAAGCGCCGCCCTCTTTCAGAATTCCCCAGGCAGGATAATGGGATACGTGGAGGCTAGAGCAAAGGCTTGAGCTCCTGCCGCAATGGACCAATCCGATTTGAATGTCGGAAATCATCGTGGGCAAACGTTTCAGCTGCAAATTCAATTCGGTGGCCGTTCCCAAGTAGAAGCAAAGCAACCAGGGCTGCTCTTCATCCGACCTCAGCTTTCGCCGGATCTCCTGCAAAAGCGATATTCAATTTTTAAAACAAAGTTGTTCGTCGAATTTCAAAAATTACCTTGAAATCGACTTCGGTTATAGCCACCGGATTAGGAAGCAAATCGAGCACATTATCCAAGATCTCTTTAGAATCGGAACCGGTGATGGGATGAGCCTTCGCGTCCTCTCCGATCTGCCAGAAGACGACGGACGTCTGATCCTTGTAAATCTCCGAGCTCAATGTCTCATCCTCGATAACGCCCACCATCATGAGACCGTCGAGAATAGCGGCCAACTTCTTCTGCGTTTCCAATTCAGGGCAATCGCCCGAAGAACCGCACATGAACAGCAACCATTGGTTGCCCTTCGAAACGCTCCACGCATCTTTGGTAATCTTTTGTACATCTACGGTTAACTTCGAGAGGACGAATCTCTTGAGATCGGCGAAACCCTTCGAGGCCCTGTAACGTTCGCCCTCGTACATATGAGCCTCCTTCTCGTAATACAGAAGAGTCGGATAGGCTTCGATGCTCAGCTGATGACACAACACGAAATCTTCTTCGCAGTTCACCGCAGCCACCCTGACAACTCCCTCTAAATCAGCCGCCAATTTCCTCCAGGTCGGCGCTAAATCGTGGCAGTGATGGCATTGAGGCGAATAAAAGTTGATGAACCACGCCTGATTCTTATCCAAAACGTTCACCTCTGAACAAGAAAAAAAATCACGCAAATCATTATAAAATCACGACTACTTTTAACCAATTTACCATAATCTGCTTTACTCAAGGTGACAATCAAAGGATCATCATCGTACAAGCCAAACTGGTCTCTGTAGTAAGAATAACTGTGATACTTGGTCTGAGCCCTATCTGTGGTCTCCCCATACAGATCATATTGTTTCCGAGAATCTGGCTCCTTCAGCACATCATAGGCATGTGTGAGCTTGATAAATTTGGCATCAGCATCTGGATCATCCTACAAACATTTAAAAAAAAATAATTATTATATTCTAAAAATCCACTTTTTCTAAATAAAAACCTTATTTTTATCAGGATGCAATTTCACAGCCAACCCCTTGAAAGCCTTCCTGATCTCCTTAACTGTAGCGTCCCGAGCAACACCCAGCAGCTTATACAGATCTTCCCCATCAGAACTAACAGAAATGATCAGAGTGGTGACAACCAGCAAAAGGGCAAGCTTCCTGTTAAAAGAAAACAAAACAATGACATCATTTTTTCTATGTATTCTCAAGTTAAAAGCAACTGGAATGACGTGGCCTTAATGAAACTCATTGGGAAACAAGCGAAGGCTATAATTGGGTTGGGGGGTTATGTCATGCGAATTTGAAAATTCGCCGGCATCACTTACATGTTTTCTTATTTATTTTTCTACTTTTAAGATTCGAGATTCAAATGGAATGAAATTTCTAACGGTTCTAACACTTCGCTCGCCGTTTTAACATCTCCTTTTTTATCTCACGTTAAATGGAGCTTAACGCAGATAACAGACGGCGAGACCGATCACCCACACACATAATATACACGCACACACGACTTCTTTCGCGGCCGCCTCAAAAAAAACTAAACTAAATATTTACTGCTAGGAACTTCCTATTGGAACGCTGACAGCGCGTTAAAAGATGTTAGGCCACCAAATGAGCGCAACGAGAGGCCATGTGTTATTTAACTTGTAGCACTCTCATCCCCCCATCCCAATTGAATCAAAGAACTACCCTCTCAAGTATGCATCTTGTTTATTCACTCACAAAGCAAAATAAATCTTATTCATCTCCTATTTAACAAAATATTAACTACAAGAATATGAAGACGTCAACTAAAAATTTACCGAGAGCGGACAAGTAAGTAACAATTACATGACTTAAGTATATTAAATAAATTGCGCTGATCCAGCTTCTGATCATGTTACGTTTATTTCATGTTATCCTGGCTGGCGAATTCGAATTGAACGACGATGACAAGATACGTGCAGATTATGCCGACCATCTGAAACAGATTATATTTTTGCAAAGTTTCTGCGAAACGAATTGCTGTGATTTCGTACAGATAGGACGAGGCTTTCGTCAAGTTTGAACATCCTGCACGCTGTGAAGTCGACGTTGTGATGGAGTAGCTGGATGGAAAAGTAGAGCAACTGCAAAATCGGTTAATTTGTAGTTGCGAATTCGTTGCGAATGTATGTGGGGATGTAGCTCAGTGGTAGAGCGTTCGCTTTGCATGTGAAAGGCCCCGGGTTCGATCCCCGGCATCTCCAAATTCTTTTGTTAACTACACCTTCAATTTGCAAATAATTGTTTAATCTTTGTTTATACGTACCTCCACTTCTAAATCATTGGTGTACGGTACTACTCTGTGGATGATGCTTCCGGTTTTGCGCGCCTGAAAGTGCAGATGGATTATTTGTTCTTTGTGTTTGTAATTGTTGCGAGTTTACTTCGCAGTAGGTTCTGGAACAAACGAAAGCCACGGCTCCGATTTGCGATAGGGATAAGAAGGCCACGTTCAGGGTGTAGGGAACGAGGATGTCCGGGAGTTCCTCGTTAGTTGTGACGCCTTTGATGCAATAGAAGAGACTCGCCAAGAGGGTGACGAAGACCTGAAGAGACGTGAAGAGTATTTGCACGGAGTAGGCGGAATTCAGCTCCGAGCAGATGTCGCACAATCTGTAATGCCTCCTGCGGACGCCGTCGACGACGTCCACCAATTTCCAACTGGAAAAGACTTTGGGAAAACTATCAAGAGAAAAAGACCGAAATTCTTAGAATCAAATTAAAGTTACGTCGGATTCACCGAGTTGCATCTCTTGTCGACGTTCTCCAAGCAGATGTGACTTCCCTCAATGCAGTTCAGCGTGTCTATCGTCCGGGTGACGTTTGCCAGTTTCAGATTGATCAGTTCGAAGCGCATCTTCAGCATTGCGTTGAGGAAACAGAACTGGATGATGACAAAAGTGGTGATCAATTTGGGGCAGATGAATGCGAGCGCGAGCATCGAGCTGTACCAAAAGTCCTTCTCCCAGAAGAGCACCACGTCCAAGCAGAAACACACTATTATGTAAGAGATGGTGCCGAAGATGGTGAGTTTCAAGTATCTGGAGGTTTTCTTGTACGAGCCTCTCACGTCCACCGAGAGCAGAACGTGGTGCAGTTCACTGTCCATCCGATTCAGGCCATAGACCACATTCAATATCTGCAAATGTTCATTTCATCTTATTATTTCATAACATATCAAAACACATAGAAAAAAATATAATATGATGTTACAACAATATTTGTACGACGAATTGATTTGTTTGTCTACAAACAAGTTGTTATGTTAAGTATTTGTTGAGAATAACATCAACGCACGAATCAATAACGAGTTCATTCTACTCATGCAGAGCATCATCATTATGTTTATGTTGCTATTGGAAACCACCATCAATTACTCATTGCTAATGTATTCGAAATCTAAACAGTAACCTTGGAAACGCTCTCGCTGTTAATGATTACACCGCTCTGAACAATGTCCGACATTTAAATTTATCATCCTACGTGAATCTTCATAGAAACGTAACGAATTTGATTCGACTGAAAAAAAATATTTACTCTACGCGTAATTTCTTCTTAATTAGTTTCGCGATTAACTTTAATAATAATGATCATTGATCATTATGTTTATGTTGCTATTGGAAACCATCA